AGAGCCATAAATGTTGAAATTAGTAAAAGTCGAATACTTGGGATATGTGAACTATCAGTATGTATGCACTTTGACACCACATCACTGGAATAAGAGATAAAAACTGAAACAACTCAAACTTACCTAAGGTGTCTTGCCATGTGCATAGGCCAATGAAGGATATTTTGCCACCATCCTCCTCCCGATTGATTGATAGTATGGTGAAGATGACATCGATGGATAAACAGTTGTGTAAAACGTTTCACACTGCTTCAATACAGAGTTAAAAATCTGGCTGCTCCTTTCACCTGCTTGAAGGGCTGCAATCGTAGTAGGTGCAAGATCAGGAAGGGGATCCTGTCTGGTGTTGGCAGCGCAGACAGTAGACTGCGGCTTGAGAGATCTGCTGAAACAAAATGAAAGTATCATGTTAGTTAATGTGGAAGTAAGTGGGAACCTGAAGACCACATTTAGGTTAGGTCAGAACCATAATGGAAATGTAATGATGTTCAAATGTATTTATTTCTCATCTTATTGTTTTGTAGATCATAATTCCAGAAAGTCATACAGGTCAATTTCTCGGTTCCTGTCAAGAATATTGAATTACATTTTCCCAGTGAACAATACAATCTGGATTTAAATCTACAATGATACATAAAATATTAGAGTTGAAATACTTGACTGAAGTACCAAGTAGGATAAGTTCATAACATTGTTTTGTTTACCTGACTGGGAGTTGCTTCCCGTCACTGCCGGTACTTGAGTCTTCACTTCTGATCCTGAATGCCATCTCTGATCACAGGTTGATGCGGCAACAGGACCAACAAGTTCCCTTATGCTAGCTTTGGTCCAACTTTCTTCAACTGTCAGGGCCATGAGTGTTTTTGACATGACTTCTCGGAGTACCTCATCATCATCTATTTCTGTTCCATCATCTTCAAGGACAAACTTCTCCACAACAACTTCCAGCTTAACAGAAACTGAAAAGTCAAAACACATTCAAACAAACCAATACAATGAATGAACAAGGCCATATTAATATTCAACACCAGAAACCATTGACAAAATGAAAACTATTACTATAACTATCAGATAGTTTGTATATTTCAGTTAACTGATGTTGAATAAATATTTAGAAAAAATAAATATTTAGGAATTTTAGCAATTCAATTTATCTACTAGGAATTGTGTTCATCAAAATGCATGATCATAGTTTGAACTTTCACATAATATATAAAACATTTTCATAAAAAGTAGCATCACCACAGTAAAAGCCATTAAAATGTAAAAGTGTTAGGGGATTATTGACCTTTTTCCTTCAATTCATTTGTGGTGACAGTCTCAGGTACCACAACACACTTCTTCTTCAGTCTCTGAGAATCCCATACTCTCAGCAAAGGCATTGTCTATCAACAGTATTTGGAAATATATTCATTAAACCAACTCACACAGCCATGTAGTAACCATGCATAAAATAAAATACTCAAATCGTTACTGGCAATATCAATGAATAATGCACCAAAATTCAGAATTAAAATGAACTGACACATTGCCTTCTAACAGGTGACAATGTCAACATTTTTATTGAACATCTAATCATAACATCCCAAAAAGAACTGTCTTAAAAAATTTGTTCTAAACATTTACAGAAAGTGCCCGGTGACTGCCCTCTTGTAACGCCAACACCAGCACTTTAATTCTAAACATGCAGATATTTGTTATCAAAACCAGTGAAGACAGTGACACAAACCAACTGTGGTTAGGTTTATGCACTTGACTTATAAAGCCCAGAGAATTAATCTACATGCATGGAAAGATATGCATATTTGTTAATCACACAAATTTTACCATTCAGTAAATACGTCTCAAGTGGAAATTTGATGAAAAGGTCATGATAGCCAATAACACTAAATTCTTCATCAAAATCTAACACGTAAGATAATGTATGGCTATCAACATAGATGATGTGTGTGTTTTGTGTCAGAAAATACTTCTTTTGATCATGGACCACGATACTGACTACATATGCAAATCTGGGAAAATGATCTTCATCATATGATGTGATCAAAATACAACCTTCCTGGAACAAACACCCATGAATAGTAACGTGTTTGGTGATAAAAACTGACGTCACTGCTGGAAAGATTGCGGAGACACATCTTCTGTGTGCAGTTATCATTTCATCCAAATTTACTTCTAAACCTTCTTTTACTTCATCCCCAGAGTAAAGAAAAATTTTGAGTAAATGTTCCTCTCACTTGTCACCATTTGTCTGCACAACCATTTCTGATGAAATTTTGCCATACTTAATGGTAAATTCTTGAAGCATCGCCACTTTTTGTTCTTAAAGAAAGCATGTCAGTGTTCCCGGTGGTTTTGAAAATTACCGGCGGCTTATGCCGACGGGGTCTGAAAATTCCGGCTGAACTAGTTTTTATCCGGAGAGACAAAGTAATCAGTATTCGTAACGATATACTGTTAATAAATGTGTTGAAAAGTCTGCTGTACGTGTTGCTTGTTTTTCGAGAATGTTCATTAGACCTACATTACAATTCACACGATCAGAAAATGAAAGCGATCCAACTAAATTCGATAAATGTGTTCAGAATGTCATTCGCTATCTAAATGCCTGTGAAATGTGCAAATAATTAATGTTTATATACCTGTGGTGAACTTCAATCTGCATTTCACGAGTTACTTAGCAACCTTTGTTAGACAATATGAAGGTTCGTGTTGTGAGCGCAGCTGACATGTAACCTTGGCTCTGATTGGATGAAAAGGGAACTCCATGTGAAACACAACTCTTGATTGGTCAGCCTGTCAGTGGTACAGCTAAGCGAAGGCATGTGACAAGTCGGGACCTGCATTAAATAATATAATCGACGGTGCTTTATGATGTTGAAAAATCTATACTTACGAAGTAAGGAATTGATGTTAATCCATTCAACGCCGGAGGCCGATTAAACGGCCAGGCAGTAGTCACGTCAAAATGAGACATAATTTTAGGAACCTACCTGACTTATGATTCATATATTAGATCTATCATATTTCACAATGTCTGAAAACACTTATTAAATTTCAATTTATCATATAATCAGCAGAATTAAAATTATAAACTATTTTTCGCAATGTTATTGAAAACAACGATTCTCGGACACATCCTTCGGCAGCGGGTCCACAATAACATTGTCAAAGAGCAAAGTAACGATGTTTCGAGGAATTCATTAAATAAATTGAATAAACTAATGAATAAAATCAACAACAACATTCATAAAAGTTGTCAAACATACATATAAAATTACTTTTTCCATGTTTTTGTGCGACCATGTAATGTAAGTCAAGTCACTGACAACTGACATCTCGGCTCTCGCCGCCTCAATCTTCACGCTCGGACACGATGTTTAATGCGATAATAACTACATGAAGCATTTTTGTCACAGGTCATAACCTAGCACCATACGTCAAAGAAGTTCCATAATTTACGTATAGGTAGCGATTTGTTGCTTGCTTAGTATGTTCAGAATAGCATTATTTTACCCAAAACTTTTGTCTAAATCTAAACGTTTTCGTTTATCTATTGCCGAAATATGATTGGCTGCTTTAGGTCACGTGTCTGATTTTGACCAATTACGACCCTTATAGCAGACTATGGCGAAAAAGCGTCATTAGAAATCAATCTTTATCCAATAAAATCGCTTCTTACAACTGTGAAAAAACTCTTGGCAAGGGTACAGTGATATTGTTGATGTTCAGAGCTTTCGAACGATGCCCGACATCAAACGATTCGCCTCGCATGTTATTCATTTGAAGCTTCGAAAACGGGGGTATTTTCCGTTGTTATGTCATGTTACCGAGCGGAAAGCCACAGATATCGGGAAATAGGCGACCATACATATTATTTAAGAAATCGTTTTATAATAATTTTCTGATGAGGTAAAAATGAAAATATAAAAGAAAAGGGCACGGGCATGTTATGACATGTCACAAATGGAAAATAAATCGCCATAGTTTTTGCTGCTTTCGTGGTTTATCTGGACGTTATAAATATAAGCTTGCCTCTTCGTTCAAAAATAAATTTATTTAAGTTGTATTTGTATTATTTGAATAATATCATAAAAATAAACTTCACAACAGTATGATTAGATCTTTTAAATGGTGTATGGGATGTAGTAGCAATAACGTTTTACAAGCTCATAATTTCCTTCATAAACATAGGCGTCATCTATGACCACAGAGTCTCTGTGAACTCGGTGTCATGGCAGGAAAAGCCTCTGGTTGACTGGTGTTGAAAGAGTTTATATACGTAGTTTACTTATAAAATGAATTTGAAAAATGGTAAATTTAAATACTCCTAACCTCGAATGACGATGATGCAATCATATGGTATCGCATCTGTCAAAACGCTTTAAACGGTAGTTTACCGGTTTGTATTATGTGTATTTATAGACAGATATTACAATACAATCACTCACTGCTTGGGTCAAAGAATCATGAAAATACAAAAGCTTGTGGAGCCTAGATATGTATATATGAAGACAAGTAATGGCAGCTGCAGGTGGATTCTGTATAGTAAAACGTAAGGAAAGTATTTCAGATAGACGTTATTAGTTTGCATGATTAAAATGTCACCGCGAATGTTTGTATCGAACTTGTTCATACTGATGCAAGGAAAAACAAGCAAAATACAATTCTGGTAAAAATTGAAACTCTTAAACTTTATTAATATTCAAACTGGAAAGTTGCAAAAGAACTTATATCAGGAATTATTATCGTAAAGCCTGTACTCAAAAGTGCGCCAGTAAGTGTCATACTGTCAGTACTATTAGTATTTTAAATGTAAAACTAATTGTTACATGATATCGATCTCTTGGAGTCCAGGTTTAAAAGTCTCTTTGTCTGTTGTGTTTCACATGTAACTATGAGAGTTAAATAATACAAAACTATCAACGATAAACAGGAATCATAATGCTGATCGCGCTGCATATGAATACCGACGATATGTCATGCCAGTCACATTCAACCTACACTTTTCTTTTTTTCTGACGGAAAATCTGAACAGCTCGCGGAACAACATTGTCATCGGCATGCATATTCAGCAACATCAGGTTGTCCAAACGTTCCCGGGAGAGACGATTCCTCGACGCAGTGTGGATGCGATTTTGGAGACTGAATCCTCTCTCCGCAGGGACGCTGCTTACTGGTATTGTCAAAGCAATCGTTGCCATAACAGCAAAATCAGGAAAGAGCACCTGATAGTCATTAACCAATAACCTGCATGTGTTTGTGAGTGTTTTGGTCCCCAAGTTCGCCAGCGTTCGCTTGAACTGAGAGAAATCACGTCTGGCGCGGTCAGTGTCAATTCCAATCAGGTTGTTGACGGTGACGTCATCAGACGTGAAATAAGCGAGAACAACCTCAAGCGAGTCACTACCGTATTGACCGATGTCGTTGCGAGAAGAGGGGTATTTCGACGGGTTCAAGATTTTGTCCAAAGACACAATGACTGATAAACTGTCTTCCGGAAATCTTTTTCTGAGTGCATCACAGAGGTCTGTGATGAAACCTGACCGAGTGTTCTGGAAGGCAGTTCGCGACCGTGGGTCATCATGCGTGAGCTTAATGGATCTGAAAACTCCATCACTGATGTTGTCAAGGAAATATTGTTCACTAGGACCTGGTGAAGTGAGGAGCTCGCTCAACGATTCAATAGAACCATTCACAACGGGATGAATGCAACCAAGGTTGAGTTCATCCCGTTGGAAGACTGTGATCAGCTTGTCCATGATGTGAAGAACATCCGTTAGCATGTAGCAAAGGGCAACAAAGGAAAAAGTTTTCATTTTTTTTTGAAGGCCTGTTGCTACAGCATTTTGTCGTGCTGTTGCCTCTTCTTCAATTTCCATACATAGGGCTGGTAGGTTGTCTTTGGTAGACTTAACAGCCCGCCCCAAAGACAACCAACGAACACTACATGGCTGTTTTAAGCTAGAGAATTCTGTGTCACTGAGAACTTGGGACAAATCTCGCAGACGCTCATAACGAACAGCTGAATACTGATAGAGTTTGTATATTTCATTCACCGTTTTAGTGAAGTCAGTGATAACCTTTGACATCTTGGCGGCATCGTGGGACGCGAGGGAGACTCTGTGTGCGATACAATGCACATGCACTAAGAACGGACACTCGTCTGTCAACCTCACCCCCACGCCTGACTTATGACCGGTCATCACGCTAGCACCATCGGAGCCAAGACCAACGACTTTGTTGATAGGAATGTTCCATTCTCGAAACACTTCCTTGATCTTGTCTGTGATGGTGCTAGCGGTGCCGTCATGCACAGTGTGATTGCCGAGAAAAACAGTATCTGCCTTTCCATAGTTAATAATTCTTAGAAACATGATGAGTTTTTTTTCAACTGTGATGTTAACTGTTTCATCGATTATCAAACCCACAAATTTACTGTTGGCAATGCGACCCTTTAAGTGCTCAATTGTGCTCGTAGCTAACGCTTGTTCAATATCTTGCACTGAGTCACCATGGCTATACACAAGACCGCTTAGGGCCGAACATTTGTTGTTTTTTTGCAAAGTTATTAAGGCGTTAAATTTGTTTGCAGCAATGTTCTCTTGTGCCATCGTAAGCACTGTGTTGCACATCGCAGTGAGACTGTCATCATTCTTCTCACTCTGGGCTTTCTGGCATGCTGCCATAGCTTGTCTATGCGTGAGTGCTAGCACAGCCTTGTGATGTGACTGACTTTCCCGATGGTCATTTAGTGCAGATTTTTTTCTATTTACACTTCCTTTAACGAAGCCATTTGCCTGCTGGGCTTCTTCGCAAATTCGGCAAAACATTATCTCATCACCTTCATTTCCTTCTACACGCAGCCATTTGTAATCATTTAGCCAGTCTTGATTGAACTTCGATTGCATAACAACCGTCTTACCGCTACAGTTACTCTTTGATTTTTTTCTCGGAGTCCCATCCTTAGACCTATCATGATCTTCTGTAGCCTTAACCACTGGATTAGATGTTTGACTTTCACTTTGCTTCTTATTTTCCCCCGAAAAGAACCCTGTCAGTGTACGCTGTTTTTTACTACTGGAAGCCATTTTTTTTTACTACGCGCGTAAAGAATACCACGTGGTACGGCTATAAATAGATCATGGGAGTGACACTGTCAATGGCAATCCGCGAATGTCTGTATCAGCCAATCACATGGCATGGCTTGATCTGCATATGCGCAGTCTGCAAGAGTCTATATTTAGATGTGGGGTTGCCACCCTAGTTTTCAATACGTTTGCATAATGATCTGAAGAGATCAAAGAATACACAAAGACGTTGTTAACTGCAAGTTTATTAAATCTGCCGATAAAAGGCAACTTTAAGCAATACAAAATTTACCGGCGGCAGCTACCGACGGCAGTTGAAAATACCGGATCTCCACAATTTTTATCGGTAAAAATCCGGTAATTACCGGAGAACGGGAACACTGCATGTTTTGCTTCAAACCGCATACACCATTGCCATCTTCCTGGACCAAATAATTCAATTTGTTTTGGAATATGGCACATGAAATGCATCTTGAGTTTTATTTTGGTCTTAGGATAAGCTTTCATGAAATTTTCATGGTGACTTTCTATTAAATCACGCAAGTCCTGAGGTGTCTCTTTGGAAACATGTGGGTTGAGTGTAATTTGTGTTATCTGAATGAGTTTCAAAAAGTGTAACCCACTTCAAATTACCAGCTGGAAGTTTGGAACCTAAAATCACTGGCAAAATATTTATCAATGTTAGCATGGCTGCTGCAGTTTGCTTTATCCATATATCAACAAGGTAGTGTCTTCTTTCAATGGGCTCTGGTTTGCTATTCATTGCAGAATGAGAATATGGAAACGACAGAATCTTTCCATTCAGCCATGCCAGTTTAAAATACTTTGCTGTTTCAATGCAGTAAGTCAGAAACAGAGCAAGTTCAAAAGGGAAGACACCCTCAAGCAGAACATGCATTGGATCATGCACAAGACATGAAATGATATCAAAATCATGAAGCTCTGAGAGGCAGCTTTTGGCATTTATTCCCCACATTTTGCTCCAATAAGACCTTGCTTCTTTTGATAACTCACTGCTCCCCAGTACCTCACAACATTCTGTGTATTGGGCCACTGTTCTTTCTGGGAAGGATTCGTCTCTGAAATTTCTTGAGATGTCCATGTCAGAGACTAAACAAGTTCGACACTTTTATAGGCAAAACCCCACCCCTTCTTTGAACCCCCCAAGGCAGTTTGATGCTGGAGTGTCAGCGGGCGCCATTACAAGAGCCCCTTCTATATTGAAGTCCCGTCCACTAATTGAAATGTTTAATCCACCTGAAGACATGACATTTACAATTTCAATGAAGTTTTCCAACAACTTGGCAAGGCCATGGCGTCTTAGGCAGTCTGATTTGGCAATGGCCAAGAGAAATATTGTTGGCAACCTTGATCTATATTCCGGTGGTATATTAGCAAATGTAACATAGAAAATAGTAATTTTATGTTTTTTGACATGGGTACCCAGTGGGTTCACTATTTCTACATCATCATTGTACAAAATGATTTGCAATGCTTGTTTGTTCTGAACAAAAAGAGGATGACTCCGGACATAATTACCATCACAAATATCATGCATGAAATCTCCTTCAGTCTCATGATGATGTTCAAACCAGTACAAGAATTCAGGAAGGTAATGTAATCTCTTGACTAGTTCATCAAAAGGCACTACATAACCAAACTCTTGCACTCTTTTCACAACACCCTTAGAGTTCTTCAAACGGTGTCCCAGCAACACAGACTGTGGAAGTATCATTTTAAATTCTGATTCGTAAAACAGAACTCGATTGTGCTCAGAGACAAATTTTTCAAGAGAAGTTTCAACATGTACTTCAGACAAAAAGAGCTTCAATGTCTTGATAACCCTTTAACCACAATTTGATCTTTTAGTTTTTTCTTATAAAGATCCAGGTGGTGTTGTATGAGTTCAGATGTATGCTCTGCTACTGTGTTCACACCAGACTGAGACAAACCAAGATCTGTTTCTAAAGATAGAAGATAAGAGGCACCAATATGACTGGGATGAAGATCTGCTTCAGGCAACATGTTCTCGTTGTTGCAGCATTCATTTCCATTATTTTCCTGTTCAGTATCATTTGAAATCAAGTCTTGTAGATATACATCCCTGTGTTTTTTGCTCACATGAACTTTATAGCTATTCCACTTCTTTGTACTAAAACAACACTGTCCAACCTGACAAAATATCATAAACCGTGGATCATCCTTATGAACACGAGCTATGTGACTACAAAAGCTACCATGATGCTGAGTGGGTGTACACACACATTGTGCAACACATACTCCATTAGGAAAAATAAAAGAGAATGAAATATGAAAGAGGGATAAGCAAATATTTTTTGCATGGACCATTTAGCTGTTTTCTTCCAATCAAATTTTAGACAAGTGAAAATGATAGACATGCCTTGCAGATATACTGAAATGACTGTCACAGTTGATGCGACCTGAAAAATTTAATAGAGTTATATCAATTGCAGTATACCTTAAACAATGCACATTATAACTAAACTTTTGGACACATAAAGAAACTGTACTGTACAATTTCTTATCATGTAGTACCAACCACCAAGGTTATTTTTTAAAAAGGAAAAAGACTTTACATATTTTATGTCTTGTGAATGTCTATTATGAATACTAAGTAACTCAAGCCATTCTCTCTGTTTTCATAAAAAAATTAAAGTAAAGATAATGTCCAGAGTGACCCATTTTCAAATTTGAACAAAAAGTAACCCAATGCCAGACAAGTGTCCTTAAATTAAATTTAAATTGCTTTTATGTTTCAGTTCTTCGTCTTGAAAATGAGGTGAAAATCAAGCTCGTTTATAAGGTTTTATCTGTGTAAAGCTAGTCTAAAGTTAAAACATAGGCATCGTCTCACATTCTGTCAAAGAAATGACCTGCAAATGTTCATGTCAGAAATAAGTGATAAAAAATGTTTCCCATGGGCATCATTCACATACGCTGCACGTAAAGAATTTGGCAGTAAAACAACTGGATGACTGGATGTGCTGAAAAAAAGACTTAGAAAAATACTTAGTGACTTGATAACTTTAGCAAGATAGAAATTTTTTGTTAGTTTTAGCACTGATTCAGATGTTTTAGATAACCGTACACCACCCACTTGACTATGTGGTTGCCCAGTCTAGGTTATGACTCACTGTTTACACATGATCTTAGACTGCCAGCATCAATACAACATGTGTAAAAATAATATGTGAACATTATCTTTGCAATATCATCAATGTAGGTACAATATTTTCGCATAACGCTTACCTGGGGAGAATAATGACGACGTCAGCTTGTTCAGTCTTCTAAAAATGGCGAGGGTCGTGCACTGGAATGTGTAAACCCGTAGAAGACGTATGACGGCACTTTTGGAAGATGACGGCACTGTTGCCGTAGAGTAACCTCCCTTGGTTCATTTGTCAATGTCATGTCACATACAAACTTAATGTCCTGTCTGAATAAAGGGATACCTATTTTTTCATGGAAATAATGAAAATGATATTAATATATCCCGTGTGTGGGTTACTACTTTTCCCTACTTTTTAGCGAACTGGCACGCCACATTCTAAAAATAGCTTATTGCGTCATCAAAGCGTTTACGTCTTTAGGCTACGATCGCGCGAGTTGACAGACGATATTCGCATTGAAATCACTGCATTTTGAACATGCTGACATCCATTTGAAGATATCTAAAGAATGTCTAGTTATCATGTAATATGAGGCCGGTAGAGATACAGCGATTGCCTCGATCACCATTCATTGGCGCCAAAATGTATCGAGGCACGCTTGCGTTGACAGATTAACACTATAATGTTAATCAAGAAGAGAGATATATTAACACTGGTGTAAATAAATGAACACTGATGTTAATGATATTACGTAAGGAGTACTTGTATGCAAATAATATTACGTGTATGTGCAAAACAAGGAGTACGACATCTTATTTCATTTAGCCCAATGTTATTTTAATTAGATTAGTTAGAGGGGCAATAACTTTAGACCAACTTTCCAGCTGTACAGCAAATTTAACCAAAATGTCTGAGGTAAGATTAGTTATTTTTTAATATTTCGAACACATTACCATATCTAATATGATACACATTTTCATTAACAACAAGATCTATCGTACTCATCGCTGTGCACTGACATTGTTTGAAGACGTGCATAGGCTACCACACATTAACGCCTGTGTTATATGATTAACATCAAGGCGTTGGCAAATCAACACCTGAGGTTTCCGTATAAACGGAGGTGTTAAATATTTAACATATTAACGCGTTAATGCCTAACACTATTTTTTACAGTGTACGGCTCCACGTGCTGTCATCGAAGCTGATGGAGAGCAAACGATGCAGCCAGTTTGATATCTAAATATGTACTGTCATAGACCTAACTGTCGAAGTTGTTGAAGAATATATATGTAACAATGTAAAACATTATGAAGAGAGCGCCGAAAAGTTTTCGTGAGTCCAGTCTCTTCTTATTATGAATATGCGCGTGTGATTACAAACAAGAGAAAAGTCTGGTCACGTGATATGCAAATTAGCCTGTGGCAGTGATGTTAAATTAAGTCATCGCTGTGCCGGAGTGTGCAAACATCACTGTTGCATAACGCACTACATCTCTATTCATCAGGATATACGCGTTGGACGCTGGTATGCGCCAAAGTCGGCATACAGCCAAATTAAATAGTTATGCTTGCATGATGATAGTGTGATCATCCCGGTGCATCGAACCATGCATTTGCATCTGAAAAGGAATATTGATTGGATATAGAGTTAAGGATTGGCACCATACGGAGACAAACATGATTATTCAGTGACACAAACATACCATAACTGATTTCGCTAGACGCCAGGGTTGATGTGTTTCAGTAGACTGCATTGTCATCGTATAGTAGAAATCCTATGCAAACAGAAATAGCCATTGCAAGCATATTTGAGACCAGGACACAGGGAGTACTCAATCCAAAATGGAGCCTTGAACCAACTCGAAGT